TATATATATATATATATATAAATTATAATCATAGATCCCAAACCTTGTATTATGATTGTTTCCAAAATCATGTGCAACTATATGAACTTAAAATGAATATGAACCCTATAATACTTCATATTATTGCATGACACCACATGGAGACCAATAAACAACTCTTTAAATACAATATACATATAATGTGTTTAAGAGTGAAGCATAGACCGTCCTAGCCCAGACAGCTGTGCAGGATAGATATGTACCTTAATGAGCATCTCAAAGGTGAACACACCCGTGAACACATAGTCAAAGTACCGCAGGACCTGAAAGCACAGATGAGCGACACAGTGTTAGCAATACAATTAAACCCTTTATGACAAATCAATATGACAAGATGAATATAAAGAATGATAAATAAATAGATAAAAATGATGGAGAAGTGAACTAGCAAATTAGGTAATGATTAGAAGCATAGGACAGATGATATGGTTACAAGTCCAGTAGACAAAAATGGACTGAACCACAGAGACATAAAGAGAGGATGTTGAGATGTGGGAGTGTCTCACATTGTTGCGGGGAGAATCGGGCCAGACAGGGTCTTCAGCGGCCAGGGCAATACTGCTCATTGCAATGACCAGCAGAATACACATCTCAAAATATCTGAGCGTGACGATATAGTGGCACAACCTCCGAAATCTAAAGTAGAAGTTCATAAAAAAGACAATAAAATAACAAAAGCAACAACATCTTTTGAAAGAAAGCTCATTTAATTTAATATAAAAACTACAGTAAGGGGTGAAACCAGGTGACTCCAGTCAGTTTTGTTTAATGTCAACATGAAGAGTGAACACTATTTTACTTCAATAATTGGAGAAATTTCCGAATGAAACAGGATATTCAAGTAGGAAATAAGTAGGACAGGAACTGATTTATCCATTGGAATTGACTGGACTTTGAAAAGTGGTCATTATACACCAGATATTATTATTATTATTATTATTGGCAGTTGGAGGGGAGGGTTAATGCATTAAAATGCAATTTTGAATATTGACCAACTGCAGAGTCACAGTGCCAGGACTGGCAGTTTCACAGAGATGACTGCACTCACGGGTTGGTGGTAGTCAGAATGAACATTGAGGTGTAGGGTGGCATGGGTTTAGGCCCCCCATCATCTTTCTCATCATCATCATCACCCTTTATGTCCTCCTTCTTGGGCAGGGGCTCGGTGTTTGCATTCTTATTGACTGTGGAGACGTGAGGAAGGGAAACATCATAGTAAGACAGACGATTAAGACAATAAATAAAAAAGGTTATTTATTCTTTTCAGCTCTTTCTCTCACCCTGTAGGATGGCGTTACTGGAGGGGAACATCGGGGGAATGTCCACGGCAGTGTAATCGGGGTTCATGCCCAGGTGACCAGTGCTGGTAACATTAGCAGTGGTAGAGGAAGGGTTGGTGAGAATGAGGCTGCTCTCGCTGCCAGTGTGTACCAGGCTGGCAGTGTGGGCACTGTTGGCCAGATTGAGCAGACTAACATGAGGGATTAATATCATAATACATAGTATTTTGCTTGTGGATTGTTTAAAAGATTATTTAGTAGACTTATCTTGCTTAAAGGATGTTTAAACAATGGAAAACAAGACAGAAATACTGAAAAAAAACAAAAAACCACTGAATATTTTTGCAGTGAACCTGTAAACTGGGGTCACTGTATATATTATTATTAGGAAACATTTATTCTTATTGATTCGATAAGCTTCTAATTATTTTAATGTTATGCTCAATAAAGAATAAATGGCTGATATTTACATTTGATGCTATTTTGTCTAAATAAATGAAAATAAGACACTAAAAACTAAAACCAATAATTTTAAACGAAACCAATCATAAAGTGAATTTAGGAAACGCAACATTATAAATATTCAAAATAATAATGGATATTCATTTTGAGATTTGAGATTACATTTAACAGTGTTATTAAATTATTTGTGTTTTTAAATATTCACTTTACGTGAACGTTAGATTATGGCAAAGCTATTCGAAATCTAAAAACAGAGGAAAAGTACATTTAAATATGCAATATCGACCGATGCGAAAAAATATATCAGCTGATAACAGATACATAAATCCATCCTCTTTGACCGAGCATCTCGTTCCCTGTCATTTCTTCTCACCTTCCAGCGGTCTTCAGGGTCCAACTCATTGTAAAGAGCCTCTCTGCTGTTCATCAGGGTGTGTCGTCTCAACTCACTAGTGCGCTGCTCCCATACCGACTTACAACCTTTGTGGTTCTTCTGTTGCTCCTTACTGCAAAAAAAGAGAGAGAGACAGAGAGAGAGACATTTACAGTAGATCTGGGATTAGTAATCATCAAGAGGGAAAAGTGAGCTTGCTGCAGCTACCGCAGGCTGAAAATGCCCACCTACAAGATACCAGTTACCATTTGTTAAAGAGGATGATTGCACCGCTTGGGTCAAACTCACTCACAGAACACACACACACAAAGAAGATAACTATAATAATTCTGGGAGTGAACACATCACAGGTGCCCAACCCTTGGAGCAAAGCATGTGAAAGAGAGAAAGTATAGGAGATAAGAGGAGAACAGCAGGTGATGAGTAGCAGGATGAAGAGAGAAGACGATACGAGGAGTGACAAACCCGCCCCATCCCACCCAGCGGTCTGGAGAACAGAGCGGGGAGCAGCACAGAGAACCGAGGAGGAAATGCACATGTCGAAAAGGCTGATGGGAGAAGTGTGGGTGGTGTGGGGCGAACAGAGAGGCATTTTGAAAGAACAGAAAGAGTATAAATGAATAAATACCAGTCCAGAAAGTGTTCTGTTGCATCAAGACGCTCAGAGTTTACTGTCACGCTGAGGAGGAAAACAGCATGTGAGAAACACAGAACATCTCTTTGCTCTTCTCCCTCATTCACAAGCTCGTCCTCACTGATACACACATATTTTCTCACGATTCTCTCTTCTTTTCCTCACAAATACTTGGATGCATTGACAAACCGGAATCATCTTTAATCGTTCTGTGCCTCTGCATGTAAGTTGTGTGTATATAACTGTGAGAAGATCACAGATGAGCTTGTTGATGGACAGGGAACACAACATTATAGGTCTATAGCACCAGACATAACAGAAAATGATGTATGTTTCTTTAAATCTGTGTTTTGGAACATAGTAACTTTAGTATTTTTTTTGCTGGTTAACCATGTTCCAAAAATAAGCTAACAACCAGTTAGAATCTACTGTATGTTCCAAAATACACTTACCAACCCAAACTGTATTTCCAGTAGGATACAATGTGATCCTATCTACAGTTTGTCATTAAAAACATTTATATTTATTTATAAATTATTTGGAAAGAACTTAATACTTTTATTAAGCCAGGACATATTGAATTGATGTGACAGTAAAGGCATTTATAATGTTACAAAAGGATTTATATTTCAAATAAATGCTGCTCTTTTGACTTTTGATTGATGGAAACCAAAAAGCGTTGCTATTTTTTTTCTATTATTGACCCCTATGTTAATTTGGCTGACACAAGAGCAACACATAGCCTGAACAGATAAAAACAAACATAAAAGTAAGACAAATAAATTGTGGGAGAGAAAATGTGGCAGCAAGACAGAAAGAGAAAGAGATGAGAGAGAGATACTCACGCAGCAATGGAGAGGCTGGCTGCAGACAGTGGGCTGACCTCTGCTACTTCCTTGGCTGCCTGAAGAGCCATTTTCTGATTGGCTGCCTGCTCTTCCTCCTGTTCATCCTATACATGGAGAGAAACATGAAGAATATTGGTTCAAATGTGATAAGAGTGTGAAGGATAAACAGTCTGAGAGAGAGAAGGAGAAACCATAAGAAAATAAAGAAAATATTTAAAATGATCATAAATCTTTATCTTTTAATATTTAATTTTACATGAGCATGGCTGTGTGTAAATAAAGCTTTTCTTTTTTTACTGAATTTTACTTTTTTTAATTTGTTTGTTTGCTTGTTTGTTTGTTTTTAACTCTTGATCCATTACCCTAAAAGTGTGGCAACATGTTACCTTGGTCAGCTCTTGTGCATTGGCCAGATTGTCCACAGCGATAGCCAAGAACACATTGAGCAAAGTGTCTGTTCACAGACGGGTTAAGGAACATCACATTAATGCTTCACTGGTGTATGTGAAAATTAACAGCGTGTCAGCATGCACTATTTTGTGTATGGATACAGTTGCCGAAGAGCGTAAGAACGATGAAGAAGACTGAGAAGACCATGCCCTTTCTGACTCCGCCCTGAGACTCGATCCCATCATACATGACCATGTTCCAATCTTCACCCGTTAGGATCTAAGGTGCAGAGAAAAGGTCCATAATCACAAAGCCATGGAAAAAACACACAGAATGATTGCACACTATTCAATGGGCACTTTTTGCTCACCTGAAATACTGTCATTATTGCTGCAGGAAAAGTATCAAAGTTTGTTGGTGGTGTGCCAGCTTCAAAATTAAACCTGAAGAGAAGAAATGGTGGTTATATTATTGTTACACAGAGTATTTCCATGCCGTGCCTTATTTAGGGCCTGTACTGACTCTGGTGACCCATAATAAATAAATAAATAAGTAACATTTTCTATTATTATGTGTATTTTAGTGCTATACTGACTGTCCTCCAAACAGCTGCATGCCCAGCAATGCAAAGACCACAATGAAGAGGAAAAGGAGGAAGAGTAAACTGATAATGGACTTCATGGAGTTCAGCAAAGACACCACCAGGTTCCTCAGAGATGCCCAATACCTGATCATGGGAAAGGGGGACATTTAAAATGCTTAGTCCTTCTTAAAACATTTCAAAGGGACAAAGAGTGGGACGGAAAGACAGACATGGGACTCAAGACGTGAGAGACTCACTTGGTCACTTTGAAGATCCTCAGTAACCTGAGAGCTCGTAACACACTGATCCCAAACGAGGTTCCTGGCTGGATCATAGCCCAGAGCACCTCGAAAATGCTGCCACAAATGACCTGTCCCACACACACACATATATAAAACACACATTTAAAGCTCATTCATTAAGAGCAAGCCACAAAACAAAAACCCCTTACCCAACGTCAAACACTAACACATATCTGTTTCTCACACTTCTCACAAAATCATTATTCATCAAAACATCCAAAACATTGAAATAACGATTAAGAAACTCATTTATTTTACAATGCAGTGAATTACGAATTATACAAACTCTTCAGTTACACACTAACTAACTTCAGTAACTTTATCAACATTAAAGGGATAGTTCTCCCAAAAATGAAAATTTGATGTTTATCTGCTTACCCCCAGGGCATCCAAGATGTAGGTGACTTTGTTTCTTCAGTAGAACACAAACGGAGATTTTTAAGTCAAACCGTTGCAGTCTGTCAGTCCTATAATGTCAGTGGATGGGAATCATGGCTTTGAGAGTCATAAAACATACACAGACAAAACCAAATTAAACCCTGCGGCTCGTGATGATACACTGATGTGAAAAGACACAAAACGATCGGTCTGTGCAAGAAACTGAACAGTATTTACATCATTTTTTACCTCTTTTTTTTTTTACCTCAGACATTTTCAACGCAATGTCTGAACTGTCCTGAGCGCATTCGCGTCTTCTTCTTCAGCCTGCGAGTGAGGCGTCTTCTTCTTCTTCTTGCGACTTATATGTGCATTACCGCCACCTATCTCAAAAAACAGACCATTGACACTCCCAATTGAGATTGTAGATAGAGTGTCAATGTGTTTGTGTATGTTTTTTTTTTACTCTCAAAGCCGTGATTCCCATTCACCTCCATTATAAGACTGACAGACTGCAACGGTTTGTGTTAAAAACCTCCGTTTGTGTTCTACTGAAGAAACAAAATCACCTACATCTTGGATGCCCTGGGGGTAAGCAGATAAACATCAAATTTTCATTTTTGGGTGAACTATCCCTTTAAGACCTGAAAGAGGAATGAACAGCTGGTATAATGTTTTGGTTTCCTTCAAATGTTTTTTGGTTTTAGTAAAAGAAGGAGGGACGAGAGAAACTCACAATGCAGTCAAAACAGTTGAAGGAGGAGTGAAAATAAGGTCTGGTCCCCAGCCCATACATCTTAATACACATCTCTGACATAAAGATCCCCAGGAAGATGAACTCAGCAAAGTCTGGATTGAGGAGAGAGGGAAAGGAGAGAGAAAGAGCGTTCGCAAAGGTCAAAGATACAAAGACAATAAAGAAAGCCATTTGTGCATCCACATTTTAAAATACATAAATGTATGCATTATGTAGGGAAAAAAATATATTTATTTTAAATAAATAGAGCACAAACACTTTAAAAGCAAGAAATTTGCTGATTTCAAATGACAGATATACTGTTCAAACAATAGATATACTGTCTAATACTACGATTAGTAAATTTTATGGTCAAGCTAATTGAATATCCATTCTAGAACTGTTGGCCGATCAGATCACACACACAGAACAACGTTATCTGGACTCTTTCATTATCGTTCTCTGTGATTTTAATAAAGTTAATCTCACCCGCGAACTGCCTAAATATAGACAGAACATCACATGCCCCACCAGAGACAGCAATATACTGGACCACTGCTACACTGTTTTAAACGATGCATACCCTCAAAACTGTAGAGATGATAGTAGACTTCAGGAGAATCCCCCCTGCTCTCCCCCCACTCACCATCATGGACAGCACTGTGGCTGCAGTGGAGTCATTCAGGTTCCTGGGTACAACCATCTCTCAGAACCTGAAGTGGGACACTCACATTGACTCCATTGTGAAAAAGGCCCAGCAGAGGTTGTACTTCCTTCGTCAGCTGAAAAAGTTCAACCTGCCACAGGCACAGATGACACAGTTTTACTCAGCTATTATTGAGTCGGTTCTGTGCTCTTCTATAACTGTCTGGTTTGGGTCAGCCAGCAAATCAGATTTAAGAAGACTGCAACGGACTGTTAGGACAGCAGAAAGGATCATTGGTGTGCACCTGCCCAGTCTTCAGGACTTGTACAACTCCAGAGTGAAGAAACGGGCAGGTAACATCATCAAAGACCCCTCTCACCCCGGACACAACCTGTTTGCACTTCTCCCTTCAGGCAGACGCTACAGATCTCTGCGCACTAGAACATCTAGGCATAAAAACAGTTTTTTCCCCAATGCCATCTCCAGCTTAAACAGCTAACACATGAATCATTACCTGTGTTCTGTAATTCATTTCCGTAATTCATTCTACATCTTTAATTATTGCCTTTTTCTCAAGTATTATGTAAATACATATGGATATCTCTTATTTACACAGTTCTAGAGTGAGTACAAATGCACAAATCTGTACATAAATCTACTGTTCCAGATTCATACACATTATTTTTTGTATACACATTATTTTTTGTTAAGTCTTACTATTTAAATGTTTTTTTCTGTTCTCATGTCAGATGTGTATGTATGTATGTATGTATGTATGTATGTATGTATGTATGCATGTGTGTATGCACCAGGAGCACCTGATAAAAAAAAGAAAAACCACAACAAATTCCTAGTGTGTTTGAGCACACCTGGCAAATAAAGCTAATTCTGATTCTTAATGTATAAACAAAGATAAAAGAAGAGAAACATCTTCAGAAAGTAAAATAGGAAACCATAAACAGTCAGGAAAATGGGGAACAACAAATTAAACATAATTATCTCTCCATAAACGAAACGAAAAGAAACTTCACAGGTTTGAGCACGTCCGCACAGAATATACATGCTCAAATTTCTGCCGATTTTCCTTCACAATAAAAAACTGAAAATTCTGAAATATTCTGTGTGGGTCTGCTGTAAGTGAACAGACAGGTGGACAGACTTACAGAGGAAGTCGGAGAGCGTATCAGGCTGGTCGTAGTGCACGGCTGCCACACACAGTGTGTTGAGTCCCACCAGACACAGCACGGTCCAGTAGAACGCTTGCGTCTTCACTATGTGCCTGATGAAGAATCTCAGTCGACGCTCTTTTTTATGGAAGGAAGAGCCCTCAAGCTTTGAGCTCTTCAGACTGCCCCGTGCAAATGGAGAACCTGACAGACAGAAAAGAAGCAGATAAGCAGAGCTGCAGAGAAACAAGACACAATAAAATTAAATGAAAACCAAAAAGTGCTATCCAAAAATTAGGTACAAAAATACAGTGATAAAAATACAACATTTTGTAATACAGGTTAATTCATCAAATACACTTTTTACTCAAATAATTCTGTAAAGAATTTAGGAAACCATAAACAGTCAGGAAAATGGGGAACAACAAATTAAACATAATTATCTCTCCATAAACGAAACGATAAGAAACTTCACAGGTTTGAGCACGTCCGCACAGAATATACTGTACATGCTCAAATTTCTGCCGATTTTCCTTCACAATAAAAAACTGAAAATTCTGAAATATTCTGTGTGGGTCTGCTGTAAGTGAACAGACAGGTGGACAGACTTACAGAGGAAGTCGGAGAGCGTATCAGGCTGGTCGTAGTGCACGGCTGCCACACACAGTGTGTTGAGTCCCACCAGACACAGCACGGTCCAGTAGAACGCTTGCGTCTTCACTATGTGCCTGATGAAGAATCTCAGTCGACGCTCTTTTTTATGGAAGGAAGAGCCCTCAAGCTTTGAGCTCTTCAGACTGCCCCGTGCAAATGGAGAACCTGACAGACAGAAAAGAAGCAGATAAGCAGAGCTGCAGAGAAACAAGACACAATAAAATTAAATGAAAACCAAAAAGTGCTATCCAAAAATTAGGTACAAAAATACAGTGATAAAAATACAACATTTTGTAATACAGGTTAATTCATCAAATACACTTTTTACTCAAATAATTCTGTAAAGAATTATTTTATATATAAATAAAAAATTATTTATATACTGTATATACTGTATATATATATATATATATATATTATGCAAATCAATCGTTTTGACCCCACTGTAGATAAGAATGTACTCATTACATTACGATAATTACAGGAATAATCCCTCTGGAGCAATGAAGAGGCTAAGTAAGTTACTCAGTGGAACAAAGAAATGGTATAAGATGGTAATACCAGGGTTAATGTAGTTAACTAAAACTAAAATTACAATTAAAACTAGGGATGCACCGATACCGATACTGGTATCGGTATCGGCCCCATACTGAGCTCCTGAGGTGTCTGAATATATTTTGGTTTGACTGTATCTATTTGATAAATGAAGTTAACCAACTAACATTATACATACCCTTTTGGTTTCTGTACCCAATATTTAAACAATTTACAAATGCAATAAAATATTGGTATCGGTACTCGGTATCGGCAAGTACCAAAAATAAAAGTATCGGTATCGGGCGAGTACTGGAAAAAGTGGTATCGGTGCATCCCTAATTAAAACCATAAAAAATGTTACTTGAAATAAAATACATGTTTAATTTAAATAAAATAAAATATTAACAACTTTTTTCAACATTTGTTATTTTAAATTTAGTTTACTTTGATGTACAAAATACAACTAAAAGAAAAATTATACATACATACACACATATACGATATATATATATATATATATACACTCACACACACATACACAAACACACACATCAACTAAAACTACTAAAAATTAAAAACACACCACAAAATTGCTAAAACATTGAACAAAAATAGTGTAAATATAAAGATAATAAACGATTCAAAATATTAATAAAAAAACTGTAATAGTATCTCAGTAACACTAAAATAAAACTGGGTAATACTATGGTACTATTATATATATCATGTTACCTTTTCAATACAATAATAATAATGATCTAAGGTTTTTAAATGTCTTTTAAAGGGTAACACTTAAGAATAATGGTCCGTTGTTAACAAGTAGCTATGCAGGAAGTAATAGGTAGTACTACATTAACACGTAACTTAATACTATTAACTAATAGAGAAGCAAGATTAACTAAGCAGTAAGTAGTAGCAAATTTAGGTCAAAGGTAGTTCCTTATTAGATATTTGATAATTA